GGGATCAACACGGCGTTGCAATAAGATGGCTCTGCTTCTTCCTCGCCCCGGTCATTTTTAATCAACAACAGCAGGAAGCAGGTAGCTCATGTATCTCGTCGGACTTTGGTTCTAGCAATGTTAGGTTGTGGTGGCTGGTGCTTGGCATCTTCTCAGGCGACAACATTTGCTAGTGCAGAGAGGTGACTTTGAGTGTTGTATGCGGATGATCGCTTGCGGCAGCACTCTTCTTCTCCGGTCACGTTGGATGAAGACGACGACATCGGGATCAGGAGAACTTGGGAATAATCCCCGGCCAATGTGCCACAAAGATTCGGTTCCGTCCCCTCCGACAGGCCGTTTAATCGGTTCACAAAGCTTCATTGTCCACAATGGATCTCTGCTAGATCTGGATGTGGAGGCTGCTCGCGTCTTTCTCCGACAATGCCATTGTTGGCGGCGGTGATCAGCGATGAGCGATGATTAGGTTGGGCACATGGATCTCCAAGGATAAAGTTGTAAAATATATATTTTTTGGAGTCTTGTGTGTAAACGTCCAAGCTGGCCCTCTATTTGTCTCTTGGAGTGATTATATATGTACTTTTTGTAGTAATTTGTTTGTGTGGACATGTTGTAATTCGTGTCTCTCGAAAAAATAGGCGTATACGGTCCCGTGGGCCCTGAAAATCCCCTCGAACCACCCGCAGAAAAATAATCCGCTCGAACGCTCGGCCACCGGTCTAGGGTTTCAAGATCTTCGACTCGGCGTGCGGCGCTTGTCATTCACTGTCGGCCACCATGGTGCACAGGCGGCAGCAGCAGCAACAGCCGTCGCCAGTGTTGAGCAGAGTCCCGTCGACTCTTATCGGCCAGGGCACCGCAGGCCGTGCATGTGCAGCCTCCTCGGAAGAGCCCACAAGGTGAGCTTCTCTCCAGCCGTGTCCATGTCCATTGCATTAGAACTTTTACAACTGAAATATGGAACGTACTGTGCAACCGATCAGTACGTACATGGGAACGAACTGTGCAACCGATCAGTACGTACATCGGTCCTGCTCATAATCCATCCATGAGTTATTTACCCAAAACCACCACACTCAGGGCTAGGATAACCACTTGATACCACATTGAAGACAGGGCACAAAAAATCATCAGAAATGTGTCTGCGTAACACGGAGCACTGATAGTCGGATAACCTCGCGAAAACAGTCAAACTGATTGGTTGGGCCCACCTGTATGGCTGACGTGGAATGCCTATGTGAAAATTTTACTGAGTTGGACCTAGGTCCCACCTGTCAATGACTAAAGTGTTTATTCTTTTTCACCTTTTCTTTTTTTATTTCTCTCTTTTTCTCTGTGGGCATTTGACCGAACAGGTTATGAGCGAGCACTGGACACGGACATCATCGGCACCGCCACCACAGAGGACATGTGCAGCGGTAATGCCTGGCCATCACCACTCCTGGCTGCTGCTGGTGAGCTCCTCCGGGAGACCAGCTCGCGTCCGCGGCCTGCGTCGTGGAAGTGGCTGCTCGTCCTCCGGTGGACGCGGACATGGCCGGGGCGGGATCTCGCCAAATCTCACCGTACGGCCCTGCTCGGCATGGACAGCAAGATGGAGACGCCGAAATTTCTTACTTCGCCGTCAATGACTGCGCGACAAGGAACGAAGGAAGGCGGCAGGGATGCATCGAGCGGGAGCAGCGTTGCCAGCAGGTCGTGCGACTCCGCGCCCGCATCGTGTGCTCCCCTGTCACGCGACCCCGCCTCCTTGCTCCCACTCAGGAGCGCCGCCGCCGCGGAGCTCCACGCCGCCAACTCCGACCGTTGCTGCCGTTCAGCAACCGGGTCGCCGCAGCCATGCACCTGCCCTCCCTTTTTTCTCTTCCGGCCGGGCGATGCGGACGAGCACCTCTCCACCACCGGAGCATGGTGGCATCCTTTTTCTCTTACGGGAGCATGGTGGCCTGCACCGCTCCTGGCCGCCGCCGGCGAGCTCGTCTGCAACTTACCTGCTGCTCCTGTCTGCGTGACCTGTCAAAGAGATGAGGAAGAAGGCAGTGGGTGGATGACAAGTGGGACCTAGGTCCATCTTAGCAAAACTTCCACATAGGCATGCCACGTCAGCCTTACAGGTGGGCCCAATCGGTCAGTTTGGCTGTTTTCGTGAGGTTATTTGACTATCAGTGCTCCGTGTTATTCGTTAGGCACAAAAACGGTGGTTTCTTGTGTCCTGCCCCAGATGTGGTATCAAGTTGTTACTTTATCCTCAACTGTGGTGGTTTTCAGTAAATAACTCTTCATCCATCGTCTCTGTCTGTGCTCCGTTTTGTGTAGCGAGAAAAGAGAAGAGTTCGTGTAGAAAAACTGTCGAAAATGACCACCGTCGTGTGCTGGGACTTGGCCCCTGACCTTGACTACAATCAAGTGTAAGAGTCTTCCATCTTAATTTACTCCCTCGCACGCGTGGAGTCGAGTGTTGAATTTCGACTGATAACATCTCCTGTCCGTTTGATTTATAGGAAGCAACTTATCCACGCGATTCAGGGTGTCGTTGACATCTCTTTCAGCAATACGAGATGACGTGCCGCTGTTGATATTGCGACAGCCAAGGATGCTCATATGGTAAATAGTACTAGTACATTCTTTGTCGATTCTTTGAGCCCCGGCTGATTTATGTTACAAATGTGATTCACGCTGGTGTTGTAGTTATATCATGCAAGTAAAACATTAAAAAAAATGTGGCGTAGGCAGTTTGCCAGCTTACCAGGCGGTGCCCGATGGGGCGGCCCCACAAATTTGCATGGTTTGCTCACAACAGCTGTGATATCGACAGGTAAACCCAATTCCCCTCTTATCCCAGCGTTATTTTTTTTTAGAAAAGGAGGACGACCCCGGCCTCTGCATCTGGACGATGCATACGATCATTTTATTAATTATTGACATAAAACCGTACAGAGTCATACAATAATAAATCTAAAGCCACCAAAACAAGCAACAACTGTCGCTATCCCTATCCAGTTGATGTAGGGGCGCTGAATGTCTGGGCCTAATACCAAACAGACCATGCAGCCAAACCTAAACATCTAAAGACTTGAGGTCCCACCCAGGACGCCTGCCTGGTATGGGCACCCACCAGTCCGGCGTGCTTCTCAACCAGGACCCCTGCCGGGTACGAGGCCGCCGCAGCCCCCTGCCATCAATCCATCTTTAGAGTTGTACTGCTGCACCAACCTTGCCAGGCCTATCTGCCATCAACGCCACCATGACGCCAGACAGCTTCCACCTCCTGCACGAGTCCATCCCCGCGCATCAGACGCCGAGTCTCCACAGCGCCACGCCGCCGAGATCCGCCACCATCAATGTGTAAGATGAAGCACCGCTCCACCAAAGTCGCCGTCCTCTAGTCCCTCGAGCCCGTGTGCACCTCCAAGAATGACGCCCCCAGGGGAGAAACGACACCAGAGAGCCGCCGTCATCCGATCTACTGATCTAGGGTTTCCCCCGGAGGTAGCAGAGAGTGGCCTTGAACTTCTCCACGACGATGCCTTCAGGAAGGGAACGACGCAGACAGCGTCGCCATCGCCGGCCTTGGCAATAGCCAATAGCAGGTTTTCACCCGGATCTGATCGAAGACCTCCATCCCTCATGCACGGGTCGCCGCCATCCTTGCCGGGATCTGGATGATCCCGCTACCTCAGCAAGGAGAAGCCCCCCACCGAGACCCGCCGGCCGAGCAGGGGAAGCCGAGACCACACGCCCGCAGGATCAGATCCGCGATGGATCCATGCCCGCGCCGCCGCCCCGGAAGCAGCCCCGCGCGCAGCCGCCACCGCCTGCCGAGGCTCGCCGCCGCGTGCCCCGCGCCCCGCCACCACTCGCCGAGGCCTGCCACCTCGCGCCAAACCGCGAGCGCCGCAGGACACCGCCGCCTGCCGCCTAGATCCGCCGCCCGCGGAGGAAGGGGAGTCGGGAGAGGGAGTCCCCCCGCCGCCGCCGTCTGCCACGCGGGTTTCACCCGGCGGCGGCGCGAGGAGGGGAGAAGGAGAGGACGGCGGCGGCCCTAGGGTTGGAGAGCCCCCGAGTCGCCCAGGGCGGGGGCGACGTGAGGGACGCAAGGTACTCGGTCTTTGAAAAATGTGCAGTTGAGCGGTGTGTGATAGGAAATCCCAGTGTTATTTGTTCATGCAGTTCTTTTTATTAGGTTATATCTTTTGAACCGCTCAGTGATAGACTTCCTCAGATGGAGTTACTTCCGGACCGACTGACTCGCATGGCATGTATCGAGGGAGGATCGCTCAGGTAAACCAAAGACGCGTCTCCTAGCTAAAATGTGGCCTACAATGGGAGCACAAAGGTACCGTCTTACAGCATTCCTATTATGTACCCTATACAATGGGAGCACACGTCAAAGTGTGGTCTACGCGACACCCGTTTCAGGGTTTATACCCTGTTTTATCTGGTGCTTTACTTGGACAGGGACCAGTTAGGATCGAACATGGTCTTTTTGCCAAAAACAAAATATGGTATACACCGTTTTGTGACCATAGCTTCTGGAGTATACCTGTATTTTCTGCAGATTGGGGATCCAACGACATGGGGTTCAAGAGAGCGGTTGCGCGTCCGTTTCGGCGCCAGTACACCGATCGTGCCCCATAAATATAGTCGGCGTGTTCCCTCAAAAAAAAAATATATAGTCGGCGTGGCGACGTGACGCGGCACTCTGCGCGCCTGGCGTCAATTTTGATGAGCTCCGCCTCCACCCCCAACCCCACCCCCACCCGGAGGAGGAGACAGCCCTTGCACAGCTAGCTCCCAACCCCCTCCCCACCCCGCACCCATCTCTTCTCACTTGTTCCAGCAGCTCTCGCACTCCTCTGCCGCTATAAAATCGAGGGCCTCCCGGACGAGCCGCTCTGTATCCAGCCGCAGCCGTTGCCAACTACTCCTCCTCTCGAATCGCGGCAAGGCAATCAACCGGGGCCGGCGGATCGGTTGAGGAAGGAGGCCGGGGGCGCGGCATGGACTGCGGCGGTGAGGAGCAGGCGAGGCAGAACGGCCATGCCGGCGACGGCGGCGACCCGGCGGAGTGGAAGAAGGTGGCCGAGCTCCGGGCCGTGGTGGAGGCGCAGGACCCCGCAGCCAAGGTACTCATCCCCTTCACGTGATCGATCGTCTTGGTTCAGTTAATTGGTTGGTCTCCCGTCGTAGCAGCAAGCTCACATGCATATTCTGTGCTGAGTTCATTCATTCATTCATTTCCTCTCCTCTCTCATAGTAGTAGCTAGCTCACACTATCTCCGACTGTTGAAAAAGAAAAGGGTCACACCTTCTCTGCTCAGTTCTTTCATTTCCTCATCTCATAGTAATCAATCTGGCACAAACTGAGATCTCCCCGCAAAAAGAAGAAGGGAAAATAAAATGGAAGATCAGGACTCAACACCCTGCACTATATATGGAATATATTGGTAGTGCAGCTAACCAATATATGGAATATATTGGTAGTGCTTTCTAACAGCAAGCACTTAACTAAGCGATAAGTGCACGTGCTTAGTAGAATACCATAATTAGCGTGACCAAGATTGTCGTTCACGGTAAGTTTTTACTCCCTTTGTCCGTGAATAAGTGTACATTTAGCTTTTGTTCTAAGTCAAAGTTTTAAAATTTTAATCAATTTTATAAAAAATAATAGGGACATATATGACATTAGTTGATATATTATTTATCAAAGTACATTTTAAAACGATCTAGTGATACTAATTTGATGTCATAAATGCTTTTATTTTTTCTTATAAAGGTGATCAAAGTTTTAGGACTTTGACTTAAGACAAAAAGTTAGATGTACATTTATTCGCGGACGGAGGGAGTAACAGGGTGCTTAGATCCAAGGGAGTATTTTTAGTGTGACTAAAAATAGTCTCTTTTAGAGGCTAAAGTTCCAAGCACCCCTGACTAAAGAGAGGCTAGGACTAGTCTTGAGGCTAAAAATTTTTAGTCATAGGAAACCTACTAAAATATGTATTAGCCTTCTCTCTCCTCATTTAATTTCTCTCCTTTAACACATGCGAGTTCTGAATTGAAGGGTTTGGAGGATAATAAATGCTCAATAACTTGATTTTAGTCTCTTTAGTATTTGGATCCAAGCATGACTGAGGCTAGCAAGTTTTAGTCCCACTACTTTTTAGTCATGGGACTAAAACGTATCCAAGCACCCTCTAAGTAACTGTATATACCGAGCGAGGTTAGGAGACACGTAGCTAACCGTAGAGACCGGGTAAATAAAAGAGACCATGGACCAAATCAGAATTATAGCTGATCGCTGCGTGCGTCCGAGTGGTTACTGGTCGCTTTTGGCGTTGATGATGGATTGTGATAGTGATACGATCTCATTTAGGACGGGTGGTTCATCAGTCTCTTCTTTATAGGCAGTTAATGTTCAGGCCACGGGTTGTTGGCCGTTGGTTGGCCAGCAAAGCACAAGGTCGACGAGCAGCTGCCATCAGTCCTGAGCTAGCTAAGCTGCACACCGACGACGACGTGCGATCACGCCGTCCGTACCCACTCTGCCTAATGGACTGCTGGTCTTCCTCCCTAGAAAGAGGAGGATAGCACGATGTCGGAAACGGGGGTGTCAACAGGAGTACGCAGAGCAAATCATGGAGCCAAAACAGAAAAACTTCTTGCACCGTACGTACGTGCACACATGCATGTTTTACTCGACACACCGGCCGGGCCATTTTTTGTGCATACGCATATTTCATGTATAGCAGGAGGCCGTAGTATAATCCTTTTTAGGGATAGGGATGACAGTTTTGCCCATGGGTATGGGTATCTGCGGGTACCATATCCGAAAACAACGGGAATGGGCAAGATTTGGAGAGATTTTGTACCCACGGGTAATGAGTATCCATACCCGCAAAACATATGGGTAAGGCATGAGTATGAATTAATGCTCATAGGTAACCCAATAGATACCCAGAATATGATAAAAAAAGTAAAAAAAAATCGTACGACATGTGGGTCAACATACAACTCCTATGGCCCAACCCTAAATCTCGTATTCCTTAAACCGTCCATATATCATAGGGCTCATAATCACCTATTTGACACTCCTCCTACGACCTTTGTGACTTCTGAAAAAGAAAATATCGACTCTTCTCTATTGGACTGTTGTCCAACGATCAAGCTATCCACGAACCGCTGCTCATACTTCATTTATTCCTCCAAGAGGCTTGCAACATGAGGAGGTTGTCCATACCCTATCCATTGTCATCCATATTTGGGGGTGGCAAACGTGTACTGCTATACATAAAATATGTGTATGCACAGAATTTATAGGTGCCACCATAGCTTTGATCGATCGAACCACCCACATATAGCTCGTCATGAGAAAATTCCGTCGTAAATGCTCACCAACACCTCGTGATCAATCCTTGTCGACTCCACCTCCACGCCACTTGGTCCTTCAAATTCTCTTTGTACTACAGTACAATCAACCATTCATTCAATCATGCACCGTCGTCGACGTGGACCTTCATCCCACCGTCGATCAACCACCGCTCACATGCATGCATGCGTGCAGGAGGAGGACGACTTCATGCTGCGCCGGTTCCTGCGCGCTCGAGACCACAACATCAGCAAGGCGTCGGCGATGTTCCTCAAGTACCTGAGTTGGAAGCGCGGCGCCAAGCCTCGCGGCTCCATCACCGAGGCCGAGGTGCGCGGCGAGCTCGTGCAGGACAAGCTCTACATTCAGGGCTTCGACAAGACGGGCCGCCCCATGATCTACCTCTTCGGCAACCGCCACTTCGCCGCCAAGCGAGACCTTGAGGAGTTCAAGCGATACGTCATCTACATCCTTGACAACACCTGCACCAAGTATGTAAAGCTTTACTTAATGCGCAAGTAATTCTACTACTAGTCAATAGTGGATTATTGACATAGGTGTGTCCATCTATGTGTGTGTTCTTCAGGTTGCCGGCAGGGCAGGAGAAGTTTGCGTCGGTGGTGGATCTCAAGGGGTGGGGGTACGCGAATTGCGACATCCGGGCGAAGCTGGCGGCGTTGGAGATCATGCAGAACTACTACCCGGAGCGGCTGGGCCGGGTGTTCTTGATCCACGTGCCTTACGTGTTCATGGCGGCGTGGAAGATGGTCTACCCCTTCATCGACGACAACACCAAGAAGAAGTTTGTCTTTGTTGCAGACAAGGACCTTGACGGCACGCTTCGGGACGCCATCGACTTGTCCCAGCTGCCCGAGCAGTACGGCGGCAAGCTCAGACTCGAGGGATACAAGAGCTCGTCGACAACGCTATAGTCAACGTGTGACTGATTTGGTTTATTAAGGGTGTCCAGTTGTGTGAAAGTATGCTACATTGCCCCGCTTGATAAGCAAGTAATACTCATCCTTTCATCTATGCAGGGCCGTTTAACTCTTGTCTTAAGTCAAGCTATTTTAAGTCTGATCGATTTCGTTGAGAAAATACTAACGTCTACACCAACAAATCGATGTCTCACCAGGTCGATAAAAATATGTTTTCACAATGTGCTTGTTAGGTACTGTGCATGTTGATACCCTTTTCTAACAAGTCAATCAAACGTAAAACCAGTGGTGAAATGGTCAATTTGACCACACAAGTTTTTGGCAAATCCTTTGTACACAAGTAGAAATCATGTACTTTTTTTGTAAAATGGTGAAAACACATGTATTTGAAAATCACAGGTTTGAAATGACATCACATACTTCTAATCCTGACACTACCACTGCTTAAAACAGTTTGATGTATGATAAAGCTGAAAGTAAACTTGTGTGGAAGAAAGGAGGCAGGAGTACTACGGATCTTGAACAAAAATTCGATTGATCTGTTGGTCCCTGCCTGCTGCTGCACATGCACATGCAATGCATTGATCGATCGATCTATCGATCGGCCAGCAGCGATGAGTGGAGTGATGAGCCTAGCCTAGGTTCAGAAATTGAATGCACGTACGTGTAGGTAGGGCGAGATCGATCTGGCCGTGAAGTGTTCTGTGTTTCACTGCTGCGTGGTGCTGACTGTAAAGACAAAAGCCAATTAAGCCGGTGTACCGTGCACGCGCAGGCAGGTACGGTGCATGTGTCGTCGACATACCAACCACATTGATCATGATAGATCAGCCATTCGAGCGGGTCCGGTGCGTGTGCACTCAATCAGATGCAAAGCACGTACATAGCGTGCGTACCGTGCGTACGGCTGATAGTTACCACCTCCATTTTAAAATAGTATGACGTTTTGGTAGGTTAAACAAGCCTACCAAAACGTCATATATTTTAAAACAGATGTAGTACAAGCCAAGGATGCGTGTGCGTACTAGGGTGTCGAGCATGGTAGATCTGCTTACATCTTTTTGCTCCCATCTTCTGGTTTTGGGTGGAAACAACAACATGAAGATGATACATCGAGAATGTACACAGCCAACACAAACACCAACACAAAGGGTAAAAGATAAAAAGAAGAGCAAAACGTCTTCATGAAAACACCGCCTTGCGCCACTTAGCTCTGTGAAGAAACGACACGTTCCATAACTGTTTCATAACTGACAGGAGGAAGGGACACCAACGGCCAACTGATAACATCTTGTGAAATGAGGCATTTGACTCGACAACCAAGTTCCCAATTTAAGTTGTAACATGAACTGAACTACTGAATCGCAATGACCAAGCCCCCAGTTCAAGTTTTCAAGTGAAGGTAAAGGCATAGTTGGATACAGGTACCCCCCCCCACCCCCCTAATGTCCGCTGTTGATGCGGGCATCTGAAACTCTGAAGGAAAAAAATGTCACATGCATCGCCGACGCCGATTCATATGTTTACCTTGGAGAAGGAACTCAAGGTAGGTATTGTGCCCGAACCTTAAGACGGGGCCTTAAAAAAGATGAGTGACACCTATAGACACCATCGCTGTATCCTCAGGTTGGGATTTCCACCCATGGTTGGACACTGCATCACGCTCACTGAGTCCGCCGCGAGGAGCAAACTAGCCCACAGAATGACAGAATACACGACCGACTAGGGGTAGGCGCAGCCATACGTATGTACCAACGTACCCCGCGTTTTTCATTTTCTTGGAGCAATTCGTCTCCCCACAGTTTTAAATTGAGTAAGTAAGCGATACTGTTGACGTATAATGTGCTGCCTAGTCTCTTCCATAAGATCGGTCTTTTAGTTGCATTGGCTAGAGCATGCACTTCTACATGGTATCGGAGCTAAGAGGTCTTAAGTTCAAAACCCATCTGACGCAATTAAATTACAGCCCACTTTCGGTACACGTTTAGGCCTGAAAAAGCCACACGTGAGGGAAAGTGTTGACGTATAATGTGCTGCCTAATCTCTTTCATAAAATTGGTCTTTTGGTTGCATTGCCTAGAGCATGCACTTCTACATATACTACGGATTCGAGTACGGACACTCGGAACAGTAGTCCGGTTGGCCCCCTGCCTGCGTCACATGCATCGATCGATCGTGCATCCATGAACAGGTTAAAGGTGTGCTGCTTAGGTTGCAAGATTAAATGTGCGTGTACCCTACTGAGATCTGTGGATCCGAGCTACGCTAGTGGTCGATGGGAGAAGTGCTGAATCGCTTGCATACATAAACCGTGTTTTTTTTCAGCTTCATGCGTGCACCGTGCTGAATGTACAAACAGGGGCGCTGTACGTGCAATTTTTTTTTCTTTTTCAGCCGCCGGCCAGTGTAGTGTTGTGTTTGTTTTCTCTTTTTGAGAGGTGTTGTGTACTCTCTGTGTAAATTAGTATTCCCTACGTTTCTTTTTAGTCCACATATAAAATTTGATTAAAGTCAAGTTTTGTAGAGTTTGACTAACTTTATATTAAAAAATATAAATATTCACAATATGAATTCAGTATTATCAGATGTACCATAAAACGTATGTTCATACTATATAGTTTTAGTATTGTAGATGTTCGTATTTTTTTTTTTTGAGATCTGGAGTAGATAACTACTCCGGTGGGACAGTACATTCAGAAAGCATCAAATGTTCTAGGCTCGTCGGAACCCCTGTGATCATAACTAGTTCGCCAGCTCTTCTTGTCTCTGCCGCAAGGCCATGGGCCAGCGAGTTGCATTGTCTCTTAACAACTCGGACGCATCACGCCTCAAAACCAGCCATGGCCTTCCTGATGTCCATGATTAGGCCGTAGTGGGGGGATCGAGTCTGGCCAGGAGTAGCCAGCTCATTTGCAATGGTCTGATTGTCCATATCCAGAACTACTTGGCCAGTGAACTCCTCTGCAGTTGACTGGAGACCAACAAGCGCAGCTCTAGCTTCTGCTTCCTCTACACTCTTGCAGCGAGGAAGGTTTCTGCAGACCGATTTCAGAACTTTGCCTTGAAAATCTCGTACGACAACCCGTCGTACCCCGGCTGCACTATCTCCATTCTCTGCCAGAAAAGCAGCATCAGTGTTTATTTTAACTGTACCTTGCATTGGCGGCGTCCACCGTTTATCTATGGATTCAGCGTTCTGGCCACTGCTCCCCACTAAAACTTCCTCGTTTTTCCTAACAGTCCCATCAGGAGGTTCTCCAGCGTATCTTAACTTCTCCTCTATCTTTGTAGGAAATGCACAGAACTAATGATTGTTTCCCGCCCTTTATCCTTAGGCAATCTTCTCTGATATGCCAACTTCGCCAGAGCATCAACAGAATTTTGGCTTTGTGCAGTTTGACTTTGACCAAATCTTATATGCGGAGTAAAAAGAAACTGAGCGAATACTTGCTACAATACATTTTAGGTCACTACTCGCGGCACTGGAAGTCGATACAGGGCGCTGCTATTTCACGCCCGTTGCGAGCTGAAGAAGGAAGTGCTCGCCTACAGAGCACCAGCACATGGGCCAGCTCCGTAGGCCAGGCGTTCAGGATATGGTTTTCTTCCTATATCACTTTGTTGTTACGTTTTCCCCTCTATTATTTGAAATAAAATACAAGGCTACATATTACATGATTCTTAATTGAGAGAATATATTAGATATGCATGAGGACTTTTTAGAACACTTGTGCTTTAAAAATGTGTCTACATTGTTTTTAAACCCATGTATTTTAAAGGTGTTTCACACATTTCTATAAAATGTTTGCCTATTTAAAAAAGTATCATGTATTAACAATGGTTTCAATTTTCTGAAAAATGCTCATGGCGCATTTAAAAATGTTCATAGCATATTAAAAAAGTGTTCACCTATATTTATAAAACGTTCTCGTGTATGTAAAAAATAATTATAGTGTAGTTGAAAAATGTTCGTTGCATATTGAAAAATGTTTGTCATCTATTAATAAATGTTCATATTATCATGCATTTAAAAGCTGTATATAATGTAGTTAACAAGATTTTGATCACATATTCAAAATTGTTCATGACATTTGTAAAATGTTTTTACCATTCAAAAAAATATGTTTACGGCATTTTAAGAAATTGTTCATGACAATTTAGAAAACGTTAATGAAATACACAACAAATCATGCAATTTTTTAAAAAATATTCAGCATGTGTTTGAAAAATGTTCAATGTGTATTTGAAAAATGTTCAACGTGTCTTTAAAAAGATAATAAATAAATAAATAAAAATAAAACAGTAAAACATAAAAATAAGTAAAGTAAATATATAAATATGATAAAATAAATAAAAATGTGGGAAGTTTCCAAAATCGGTCCTAAAACTACTACACTGCATACACCCTGTCTGTTATTGGGCCACGACCCGCATTAAATCGCCAGAGGCAGAGCTGCATCCATCTCGCATGAGGTGATATATAGCATCTGTGGTCGATACACCTCGATCATCAAAGTGATAGAAGCAAGAAAGGGCAGGTCCTGCATGCATGGGCATATGCACCCATTTTTCCAAAAAATGCATTTTAAGCAGGCTTTTAAATGTCAAAAAATTCTAAAGAAAATTTCCAACATACATGTTCGCAAACGTGTGTGCGCGGCACAAAGTTTTATGAAAAAATGTCTTTTCATTTTGTCTACGCAAAAGAGACAAATTTCAGTGCTTCTAAATAGCATTCCACAACATAATTTTGTCTTTCTTTGCACAGGACACAAAAAAGTTATTTTTCTGTGAAACTTTATGCACACAAATAGAACATGGAGACGTAACCATGCAACCTTTTTCAGATTTTTTTAGCATTTAGAAATATGTTTTCCAAAGTGTATTCATATGTAGGAGTACCTGGGTTCATCCATGCACTTCCCATAGAAGCAAGGCAAATCCTACTTTGTTAATTGCAAATTTGTTTTCCAAAGGCATGCTTCCAACACTGAAGCTTTGGTTGTTGGGGCAACCTCATGATCTCATGTGTGTTGAACTTTGATATGCAAGGCTTGGTGGCACTCACTCACTCGC